GGGCCGAGGTCTGTCCTGGGCCACAAGGCAATGGTGGTGATGGCAATCAGAGTAAGTAAGGGCGATCGGGTCTCATGGGGGCCCTGAGATCAAGGGGTGGACCCTCGGGGGCCCTGCAGGTCAGTGCGATTAGGTGGTCAGTCCCAGAATGGGTTGGATTTCAGTGCAGGTTCAGAGATTGGCACGGGCTGGGCTTTCCGAGCTCCAACGCAGGGGGATGCTTCTCCTCAAACAATAATACTAATAAAAATTACGGCCGTCCTTACGTTTTGTCATCTTTATTGCTGATGAGTCTGACCGACAAGCTGTCGCTCAGGGCAGAGGGAGTCACACCGTTCCGGGTTTTAGTCTGAACTTTAGAGGGTGCCGTGCAAAGCACAAGCACAACCCGTTCCCTCCCCCCGAGACTCCAAATGCGCTCAGGCTGCCCCCCAGACCAGGGAAGATGGACATCAGAGCAAAAGCTTAAGGTCTTGGGCATTCTTTTCCTTTTTTCAGATTTATATATATACATATATTTTAAAAAAAGGAATTATGCAAATTTATTCCCACTGCCTTCCTGTAAGGGGAAATCTACAGGATGTGCACCAGCCCCACCATGCCTTGACTTCTTGACTCCTTCCTTCCTTCCTTCCTTCCTTCCTTCCTTCCTTCCTTCCTTCCTTCCTTCCTTCCTTCCTTCCTCTTTCCTCAAAACACAGGAAGTTCTGCCATTTGGATTGTTTACTTTAAAACCCTTTTTTCTTTTCTTTTTTTTCAATCTTGCTACATTTAAAAAATAACAAGGAGGGGGCAAGTTGACGGAAATATATATATATATATTTATATTTATATATATTTTTTAAAAGATGGGAGTTAAAATACTGCTATTAAACTAGAGCTGCTACATCAGGCTTTCTTTTAATATATATGTATATGTATATATAGATTAGATAGATAGATAGATAAAAGGTTATTGGAACTAAAACAAAAGAAACCCTTTTTCTTTCCTCCTTTTTTTTTCCTTAAAGGAAAGGAAAACGACGAAGCGGGAAGAGGCACATTCGCCCGTCCCGGGAACACAAGTCGTCCCGAGGCGGGATAACGGCGCCGCTTCCGTCTCTAATCAGCAAATGCGGACATTGGTTCGGATTTTATACTTTTATCCATATTATTATTATTATTTTTAGAAAAGGGGAAATATTCTACTATTCTCATCATGCGTGTATACAGGGGGAAGGCTTCTTCCTATGTTCCTCTGACAGTACGAGACCCGTATCCGCACGATCCAGACTCTCACCATGGCATTTATCTATTTCCGAGGTCCTCCAGTGCAACTCAATGGCTAGAGGAAGTCCTTCATTGCTTGTGCATGATCCGGAATTTCCCGTATCGACACGGAGTCCCGGAATAAATGTATTCCTTCTGGATACGGGGTCCCGGAATAAATGTATTCCTTTTGGATACGGGATCCCGGAATAAATGTATCGACACAGAGTCATGGAATAAATGTATTCCTTCTGGTTACGGGGTCCCGGAATAAATGTATTCCTTCTGGTTACGGGGTCCCGGAATAAATGTATTCCTTCTGGATATGGGGTCCCGGAATAAATGTATCGACACAGAATCCCGGAATAATTGTATTCCTTCTGGATATGGGGTCCCGGAATAAATGTATCGACACGGAGCCCCGGAATAAATGTATTCCTTCTGGATACGGGATCCTGGAATAAATGTATCGACACGGAGCCCCGGAATAAATGTATTCCTTCTGGATACGGGGGTCGTACTGTAATAAGAAGACAATGGGGGAAACAGAGGAAAGGGGGAGGTCTATCAAGAGGCGATATCCCTCCAAAACAACCAACTCTCTCGCTCTCTCCTTTCTCGCTTTTCCCACTCACGCCTTCCTCTCCCCACCGCTCTTCTTCCTCCTCCTCTTCCTCCGTTGCCTGGCACAAAATTAAGGAAACATGGACCGAAAACTTCCTCACGTCAACAACAAAACAGACGTCACTCCGCCAAGAACAACTAAATCCAAAGAAACACGTCCGGCCCGCTTCCTTCACGGCGGCCGGAGGGACCAGGCACAGCTCTTGCCCCCAGTCCGCTTTGGGCACCCCTTTCCCCCTCCTCGTCCTCTTCCACCTGCACTCTATTTCATTATCTACATCTGCGGGAGAAGGCAACCAGAGCAGCTCGCTCTCCCCACGTTTCCTCTCACTCGCTTCCACCATTTCACAAAAAAAGAAAGAACGAAAGGATGAAAGAAAGAAAAAAAGGTTAATTCCACCTCCTGACCTTCTTTCCTTTTTTCCCCCTCCCCTGGTTTCCTTCTACTGGGATATCTATAGTTCATTTTTTAAAAAGAAACAAGCATTTCTGGTGTGTATATATAGAGAGAGATCTAGGCCTCCTTTTCCTTTTTCCTTCTTCCACGAGAACATTTCCTCAAAAGGGGAGACTGTCAGAGGGCAGAGGCCATCGCTGAGGTGTCACAAACGTCTTTGCGGGATGTTTTTGGAAAGGAATGCATAGAAAATCGTTTTGCTGGCATATAGGAAAAAGAAGGGGAACCTGGGGAGGACAGAAGGGGGGGGCAAGAAGTGACCACTGGCCGCCCCATTTCCCCCCACTGGAGCTGCTGGGAAGGAAACTCCCGCAAAGACGCTTCGCTTGAGGATCTGAGGGCAAAGGCGTCCAATTCTTTTCGCCCTCCAGAATTTATTCCCACCGAATCAATACTGAAGATCAAAGGTGGCCAGATCCCCAAAAAGGTGAGGCCTACCTTCTCCGAAATTTGGAGTTTTGCGAATTCAAGGGAATAAAACAACCAGTTATGGAGGACGAGAGTTTCAAATGGCTCTTTTCTTCCTGGTTGACAGTCTCCCCTTTTTTGGCGGAAAGAGCAGAACCAGGAGCGGATGGACGGAAGGACGGACAGCATATTTCGCCTCCACTGCTGGTTCTCTCTCAGCTTTTGGGAAATATGTACACAAAGCCATCGCTTCTCAAAACAAAGCCAAACTCCCAACCCTTGGGCAGTGATCGCTCGTTGTGTTTGCATTTCGCCGAACTTGGGAACACCAGGAAGGCAGTGCTGGGTATACTCTTGGAGAGACCTTGATCTTGTGTGGGAAGGGGGCAAGAATTTGGCATGATGGCCATCTCATGGATGGGCTCTGGACTTCCAATTCAGCTGTCAAGGAGTAAGGTCCTGTCCTCATCGCTCTCCGAGAGGGAGCAAAACACAGCACTTGCTACAAAGGCAACAACTGCTCGACGGCCTTCCTTAGCGCAAGAGTAGACCCAGCCCTACCAAGAGACGACCGGAAGGACCGCCGGGGAGAAGCGCAAAGAGATCAAGGGACGGCGTGTTGAGGGGAAAGGAAAGAGAGGTCCTGTCCTCATCGCTCTCTGAGAGGGAGCAAAACACAGCAGTTGCTACAAAAGCAACAACTGCTCAGCGGCCTTCCTTAGCGCAAAAGTAGACGAAGCCCTACCAACAGACGACCGGAAGGACCGCCGAGGAGAAGCGCAAGGAAGTCAAGGGATGACGTGTTGAGGGGAAAGGAAAGAGAGGTCCTGTCTTCATTGCTCTCTACAAAAGCAGCAACTGCTCAGCGGCCTTCCTTAGCGCAAGAGTAGACCCAGCCCTACCAAGAGATGACCGGAAGGCCCGCCGAGGAGAAGCGCAAGGAAGTCAAGGGACGGCGTGTCGAGGGGAAAGGGAAGAGGGTGCCATTCCGGGGAAGGGAAGTATCCAAGGGCGCCCCTCCAAACAAGCGCTCTCTCCTAGCTCAGTTCCAAAGTTTCCTTCTGAAATAAAGGTCCGAAAATTCTAAGCAAAGGTAAAAAGAGGGGAGAGTTGGGAAGGAGGAAAGGGGGGCGAGAGAGGTGTCGCGTGGGTGTGCACCTGCCGGATCTATCTACCTATCTCTCTGTTGGAAACCTCCCTTCCCGCGCCTCCGCTCGCACCGTCTCTCCGGTTCCCAACAGTCGACAGTTTCGGGCGTTATAACCAAAGCAGGAGTCAAAATGTCTTGAAATGATTAAGGATGTTTGACAAGGCAATTCAATAGCACTATTATTATTATTCATATTAATATTATTATTATTATTCATATTCTTCTTTTTCTTCTTGAGCATGTGTCTGTTTTGTTTCATTCTGAAAAAAATAGAATATATAAAAGTAGGCAACCTCAGGAAGATCCGTGTGTGGACAGCGAAAAGAGGTTTTGGTCCATAAGGAAATACTCTTTTTCTCTCTCTCTTTTTACTTGGATTTGAGTAACAAAAGTTTTGGTCCAGTTTAAAAAGACGATAAAATTATATATAAACATGTTAATTCATATATATATATATATAGATATAGATATATATTATTATTATTATTATTATTTCTTTTCTTTTTTTTTTGCTTTCCGTCGGGTTGTGAATTGGTTTGACGTGGGCTTTGTGGCCAGTATTGCATTGTTGTCTTTCTTAGGTTTGGTGTGAAATTATTGTTGTCGTTGTCGTGAAAACCAAAAGAGAAAGAAAGGAAGAAAAGATGTTTCTCTTTGTTGTTGTTGTTGTTTGCATGTGTGACTGGTTTTATTTTGAATTTGCATCATCCGGCAAGGATAAGAAGGCAAAAAAAATAAAATGTAGGAATGTGGAGCGCAGCCCTCGCAATTCCCCCTTGACTCTGGAATCGGAAAGGTTCGTTTGCATGGGGAGAAGTCGGCCGTTTTGTCGTGGAAATACCCTGTTAGTGACTCCTGGTCCTTATTGGATGAATCCCTGCTCGCATAGAAAAACGGAAACAAAACAAATGTCCAAAAGCGGTGGCTCAGAAGACTCAAAATGAAAAGTTTCAAGGCGGCCAAGAAGGTGGTTCTTCTTCCGAGGGGCCCTTCCGACCCCCTTCCTTCGGCCCCACAATTTCACTGGCTTTAATATCACGTGTTTTGTTTTGCTTTGATTTTATTTTCTTAGGAAAAAAATAGAGGACAAAGAATATAAAGGTCTTTAGCTGCTTCTTATTTTCTTTTGAAATGTTTGAGGTAATACAGTTGTGCCCTCGTTTGATTAGGTTCCCAAAGGCGGACGGTGTCCCTACTCCTCCTCCTCCTCCTTTGTTGTGGTCAGATCCTGTCCTCTTTCGCTTCCCGATGCGGCCACTTCCGGCCATCTTCGGACCCCTTCCGACTCCTCTCTCCGCTGCGGACCCCGCCCCGGTCTCGCCCCAAACCTCCCCGTTCTCTACGGGATGAAGAGTCCTCCGTTCGTTCCCAAGCTCCTGCGTGGCCATGGCCTCTGCTAATAGTTCTACCTCCTCCCGCCTCCTTTTCCGTCTCCACCACTATCACCACCACCACCCTCCTCATCGTTATTGGCTTTAAAAATAACATACACTGCTAAAATAATTTCTTTCTTTCTTCTTTTTAAAATTAATTTCCTTTCTGATGTCTGATTTGTGTCTCGTTCTGTCTCGTTCTCTCTCTCCCTCCCGTCCTGTCACCCACTCCAAATTTATCCCCAAATGCTGCCTGCCTGCCTTGTCTGTCTGTCTGTCTGTCTCTCGTGGTTTTGTTGGTTGGTTTCTTTCTTTCTTGGTGGGCTTGCGTGTCAGTCTTTGTTTTAAGAAAATATTCGTATGGCCTGCGTGGCCGCCGCGTGGCACACAGGGCACTCGGGGTCGGTCCGCTCGCAGATCCGGACGGCGCACTCCATGCAGAAGAGGTTGTGGCCGCAGGGGACCAGGGCGGCGGTCACCTCGCTCTCGAAGCAGACCATGCACTCCCGGCTGCTGGAGAGGGGCGTCCGGCCGGCGCCGGCCGAGGAGGCGCCCAACTTGGAGAAGCCCGGCAGAGTCTCCCCCTGCGACCGCCGGGGAAGCCCGGAGAGCGGAGGCTCGGGGAGGGAGGAGGAGGAGGACGGGGAGCGGTGGGAGTTGGCGTGGAGGGCGCCCACGCTGCCGGACCGTTGCTGCTGCTGCTGCTGCTTGGAGAAGAGGATGGAGACCGGGTTGGTGTTCTCCTGCCCGGCCCACAGCGGAGCCCCCGACTCCGGGACCCCATAGTACAGGTCTTGCTTGTTGACTCCGTAGTTGGGGAAGAGGTAACTGTAATTGAAGTCGTTTTGGTCGTTGAGACGGGGCGTCTCATAGGCAGGGTCCACGGAGCAGTCCCCGATGCAGCCCAGGCTGTTCTGGCGGAAGGTGGAGAGGGGCTTGCAGCCGGGAGCGGGAGTGTGGACGCGCCAGGCCTCCGAGTAGCGGTTCTCCAGGCCTGAGTCTGGGCTGCTGGACAGGAAGTCGTTCTCGTTGTTGTACTCCAGGATCTTGCCCGTCCGGACGGCGATGTGGGTCTCGATCTCCTCGCGCGCCCGCTCCACGTTGCCCGGCGCTCCTGTGATCTCGAAGACAGGGTCGCGGTCCCGGCTGGGTGTGATGATGTAGGTGTTGGTCTGCTGCTGGATCCGCTTGATGGTGGCGCCTTTGGGCCCCACCACCAGCCCCACCACGCGGTACGGGACCCGGACCCGGATGGTGACCTGCCCCGGCAGCGTGGGGGCGCTCCCAAAGGTGCTGCCGGCCTTGTTGCGAGAAGCCCGGATCATGGAGAAGTGCTCGGCAGCCGAGATGATCTCCCTCCGCGCCATGGCCACGTCCTCCCTCCGCCCGGTCACCATGAAGACAGGCTCCTCGCCTCGCACTGGGGTCTTGATGTAGGTGTTGGTCTTGGCCCTCAAGGCCTTGATTTTGCAGCCTGTAAGGAGAGGGGGAAAAAGAGAGAAACACAGGAGAGGGGTTAGTGTGCCAAGCTCCACAAGTCTGGAACACACTGAGGAAGGGCACCATGCAGCATCGATTCCTCCACTTGCCATCATTCAACTATGGAAGAAGCAGAAGCAGAAAGGTCCTAGGCCACTCAAGAGGCTCAGGTCCCACGTTCAAAGGTATTATGAAATAGGAGGAAAGAAATCCTCCATCAGTTTGGAAATTAAGACGCCGCACTCCCTCCCAAAGCGAAAACAGGTGTACTTCAGACTGAGTGCACTTGTATTAACGAAACTAACAAGAGAACACAAGATCCTTTACTCCAGCGTTTCTCAACCTGGGGGTCGGGACCCCTAGGTGGGTCATGAGGGGGTGTCAGAGGGGTCACCAAAGACCATCAGAAAACACAGTATTTTCTGTTGCTCATGGGAGAACTGTGTTTCAAGTTTGGTTCAATTCCATCATTGGTGGGGTTCAGAATGCTCTTGATTGTAGGTGAACTATAAATCCCAGAAAATACAACTCCCAAATGTCAAGGTCTATTTCCCCCAAATTCCACCTGTGTTCACATTTCTGCATATTTAGTATTTGTGCCAAGTTGGGTCCAGATACATCATTGTTTGAGTCCGGAGCGCTCTCTGGATATAGGTGAACTACAACTCCCAGCAACTACAGTACAACTCCCAAATGTCAAGGTCTATTTTCCCCAAACTCCACCAGTGTTCACATTTGGAAATATTGAGTATTTCTGCCAAGTTTGGTCCAGATCCATCATTGTTTGAGTCCACAGTGCTCTCTGGATGTAGTTGAACTACAACTCCCAAACTCAAGGTCAATGCCCACCAAACCCTTCCAGTATTTTCTGTTGGTCATGGGAGTTCTGTGTGCCAAGTTTGGTTCAATTCCATCGTTAATGGAGTTCAGAATGCTCTTTGATTGTAGGTGACTAAAAATCCCAGCAACTACAACTCCCAAATAACAAAATCATAATTTTTTAAGTGATGGTCACTCCTTGTGTTGTGAGACCAAATTTGGTGTGATTTTGTTCATTGGTTCTTTTGTTTTTAAGGTACTCATGGTGCACAGAACATTTTTATATATATAGATAAACACCACCCTGCTGCCCTTGGAAAGCCAGCTTCAACTTAGGGGGTGTGTAGAGCCTTTCAAAGAGGGAATGGAAACAAAACCGATTTGACGTTCTTCCCTTAATTCAGGGATAAATTATTCATCCCGAGAAGGGAGGAGGGTCTTTGGAAATTCCAGTCTGGAAGGTGAAGAGAAAAATGCAAGATAGAAATAGAGTTGGGGGGAAGGGGTCTGCCTTCTGTGGACCAATTTCTCTCTTTGTCTCGTGCTTTGGGGGCCGGAGATCTGCACCGCAAAACGCGTATACGGAGAACCTTCCCATTGTCCAGGTCTCCAAACAATGCCACAACAATGCCACGCCAATGCAGGCCATGGGAGGGGTCTTCCTCCAGGTTGGCATTGAGGGGCAGGAGGGAGGGCAGGGCGGTGGTCCATGGCAAGGCAATGGGGGCGGGTGGGGAAGGGAGGAAGGTGAAACAAAGGGGTCATGGAGACCGAGGAGGAGGAGAGACAAAGGAAGTGGGGGATGGAGGTGGATGGAGGGAAGCCCAGGCGCAGAGCAGATGGAGGGAAGCTGGGGATGGAATTGGGGACAAATGCAGGCGTGGGGCAAGGGAGGGGGGCTGAAGGACGGTGGTGATTAGGGAAAGGACGGAGGGAGGGAGGGGAAGGGGGTGGGGACAGCGGTGCAGCCCACTCTGCAGAAGGCAGAAATAAAGAGGGACGGGGAGAAGAAGGAGAAAGCAGAGGAGAAAAGGGGGAGGGGACAGGCAGAAGACAAAAGGAGGAGGAGGTGGGGAGGGGAGGCCCCGAGTTGGTTGGCTCCGTGCCCCGGCAAGAGAACAGGGCAGCGGCAGAAGCCGCAGAGAGGGAGGGGGCAGGAGGGTGGGTGGGTGAGTGAGTGGAGGGACTGGGAAGGCACACCCCAAGAGATGGATCCCCCTGGAAGGGAATGCTCCACAACCTCTTTGTACACCAGAAGAACCTACTACTGTGATGGGGGGAAGAGGAGGCCAAGGAAGGTGCACCCCAAAAGTTGGATCTCCCTGGCCTGTATTCCAACCCAAATGGAAGGGAATGCTCCATAACCTCTTTGTACAACACCAGAGCACACCGGAAGAACCTACTATTGTGATGGGGGAAGAGGAGACCAAGGAAGGTGCACCCCAAAAGCTGGATCTCTCTGGAAGAGAATGCTCCACAACCTCTTTGTACAACACCAGAGCACACCAGAAGAACCTACTATTGTGATGGGGGGAAGAGGAGACCAAGAAAGGCACACCCCAAGAGGTGGATCTCCCTGGAAGGAAATGCTCCACAACCTCTTTGTACAACACCAGAGCACACCGGAAGAACCTACTATTGTGATGGAGGAAGAGGAGACCAAGGAAGGTGCATCCCAAAAGCTGGATCTGCCTGGTCTGTATTCCAACCAAAATTGAAAGGAATGCTCCACAACCTCTTTGTATGAGACCAGAGAACACCAGAAGAACCTAATACTGTGATGGGGGGAAGAGGAGACCAAGGAAGTTGCACCCCAAAAGCTGGATCTGCCTGGTCTGCATTCCAACCCAAATGGAAGGGAATGCTCAACAACCTTTTTGTACGAGACCAGAGAACACCAGAAGAACCTACTACTGTGATGGGGGAAGAGGAGACCAAGGAAGTTGCACCCCAAAAGCTGGATATCCATGGTGAATCTGGCCTCTATTCCAAGTCACACAGAAGGGAATTCAAGCAACCTTCTTGTATGACACCAGCGCACACTGAAGAACCTACTGTTGTGGTGGAGCCAGGCAGGAAGGAAGGAGGGGATGAGGATGGTAAAGAAGGCACACCCCAGAGTTGGATCTCCCTGGCCTGTATTCCAACCCAAATGGAAGGGAATGATCCACAACCTCTTTGTACAACACCAGAGCACACCAGAAGAACCTACTCTTGTGATGGGGGAAGAGGAGACCAAGGAAGGTGCACCACAAGAGCTGGATCTCCCTGGAAGGGAATGATCCACAACCTCTTTGTACAACACCAGAGCACACCAGAAGAACCTACTCTTGTGATGGGGGGAAGAGGAGGCCAAGGAAGGTGCACCCCAAAAGCTGGATCTCCCTGGTGAATCTGGCCTGTATTCCAAGTCACACAGAAGGGAATTCACAGCAACCTTCTTGTATGACACCAGAGTACACTGAAGAACCTACTGTTGTGGTGGAGCCAGGCAGGAAGGAAGGAGGGGATGAGGAAGGCACATCCCAAAAGCTGGATCTCCCTGGTAAATCTGACCCGTGTTCCAACCCAAATGGAAAGGACCTCCTTGTACAACACCAGAGCACACCTGAGAACCTACTGTTGTGACGGTGGGGAAGAGGCAGGCAGGAAAAAAGGAGGGGAGAAGGAAGATAAGGAAGGTACATTCCAAGAGCTAGATCTCCTAGATGAATCTGGCCTGTATTCCAAGTCACAAGGCAACCTCCTTGTACAACATCAGAGCTCATTGAAGAACCTACTGTTGTGGTGGAGCCAGGCAGGAAGGAAGGGGGGATGAGGACGGTAAGGAAGGCACACCCCAAAAGTTGGATCTCCCTGGTGAATCTGGCCTGTGTTCCAACCCAAATGGAAGGGAATGTGCAGCAACCTCCTTGTACAACATCAGAGCACATTGAAGAACCTACTGTTGTGATGGAGCCAGGCAGGAAGGAAGGGGGGATGAGGAAGGTAAGGAAGGCACACCCCAAGAGTTGGATCTCCCTGGTGAATCTGGCCTGTATTCTATGTCACGCGGAGGGGAATTCACAGCAACCTCCTTGTACAACACCAGAGCTCACCCAAGAACCTACTGTTGTGATGGTTTGGAGATAGTTTTGAAAGAAGGCTCACAATGAGGCTCACAAAGAGGACATGGGGGGCCCTCCCCTTGGAAGACCCACCCGCCACCACAAATGGATCCAGTTCCATTTTGAAGTCAAAGCCAGCCACCATCACAACATCTGGAGGGAGGAAATCCCACCATTTGCAAGAATGGAGAACGTGAGAACCTAAGAGGAGCCCTACTGGATCTGAGCAAAGCCCTATGGAGACTAGAATCTGCCCACCAGCAAAGCCAGTACCCCCCTTCCCATCAACCCCAAAATCGGATACTCGGAGGCTGCCCCTAATTCTGGGGTTGGCCTAGAGCCATCCCACTGAGCAGCCACTGAGGGCCATTGCCCTTCTTATGGTGTCACTCAAGTTGGCTGCCATTGTTAGGCTGGCCATCCTGACCCCTCAAGGCCACCTCATCATAAATCAGAGGCAACAGCTACCCTTCAGATACTGCAGAGATTCCCCGAAGAGAGAACTCATCCAGGAAAGCCAAGTGAGAAAGTGAGTCATGAAACCCATTCATGGTGTTGCAGCCCTGAAGAGCAAGACCAAAGGAAGAGCTCCACAAACAATGGTGTCTTCTCCCAACTGGGTCCCCCTGGGAACTACTCTTTCACCTGGCTTGGTCAGAATTGATTGACTGACTAGCCGTCCCCTGCCACACATTGCTGTGGCCCAGTCTGTGTATATGTGTTTTGTGTGTGTATATATGTTTATATGTGTGTGTATATTATTGTGTATATGTGTATATATGTGTGTTTGTGTATCTTATCTATATAAAAATGCTCTGTGCATAATGAGTACCTTAAAAAACAAAAGAACCAATCAACGAAATCACGAAAGGTCTGAATAAACTGCATTCTCTTAGTAGATCATATAGTTCACACCAAATTTGGCAACAAAACGTCTCACAACACAAAGAGTGACCATCACTCAAAAAATTATGATTTTGTCATCTGGGAGATGTAGTTCACCTACAATCAAAGAGCATTCTGAACCCCACCAACAATGGAATTGAACCAAACTTGGCACACAGGACTC